TCGAGACGAATTCGAAACATATATTACATTATATTTTTATTAACATATTACTCGATTTACAGAAGTGGAAAAATGTAAAGTACTTAGCTTTTGACTTTGGTAGGGTAACCATTATTTGGTTCCAAAGAGATCACTGAATGTAAACACGCGACTAGAATATAAGAAAAATACACTTTATTTAATTACATGTTCAAAATGTAACATATGTCGCCTTCCATCACATAATATTCCAGTCTTTTACTTCACTTTTCCACTTCTGTAAATCGAGTAATATGTTAATAAAAATATAATGTAATATATGTTTCGAATTCGTCTCGATGTCCTCTAAAGCTATGAATAAAAAAAAATATATGTTCCTATTTAAGAAACCCAAGGTGACCTTGACTTTGCCAAGAGAACAAACTGTTTTCAAAATTTGCTTTACTAATATCTATTGTGCACTTCATACCCTGCAAATTTTATTCTAAACTTTTTTTCGTAAGGTGGCTGCAAGTGGGAGAAAAATGGTGAGTAGCGTTACAGGTAACACCCTGTACATATAGTGGCGCGTTGTGCCTCAGAAGTTAGAAGCAACAATAACCTGTCCGAATTCCCAAAATCGCGCAGTGTAATATATTATTAGTTTATTTACAGATTCATAAAATTGGTATTATTATGATGTTCAAATTATGTTGTTTATTTTGTGCCCAATCACTTCCGTTTTAATTTGATAGATGTTACAACAGATTTGTTTAAATAAATTTTCATATTCATTGTCCACCGTGTGAAACGTTAGCAATTTATTTGCTGTTATCACGGCCATTTATCGTCATCTGCTACTACATTATATGTACATGAATTTGTAACTTCGCGCAAAATTTACTGTTCATATGCCACAACACAATATCAAAAATAACTTTACATAGTCTAAAATGTAATATCCAAAATATTATCATAATATTATTGATTAACTGATTATTTTAAGTATCTTTAGTTTGTAATTTCAATTTAATTATTAAATATTTATCTCAACAAAATTATCTTAACACTTATGTTACAAATTATACAATATTTGAACCCATTTATATAAAATATATAAATTTGTCAAATGTTAAAGTAAACATAATCTCCCGTTAGACAAATATTAACACGTTCACGCCGGGGCAAGTATTTACGTTACGCTTCGTGGGGCGGGGCGATATTGTTGCTCTTTCGAAGCTTCGAACGCGCTAAATACGAGATCAAAACAGTTTTGACATTGAGTTTTCGGAACGCACATTCCTTGCATCAAGTGTAAAAGTAGGTAAAATTATCTTTTCTCCTACAGAGGCGGTTAGCACTTTTCCTTTTTGAATTTTTCACAAAGAAATCGAAGAGGGTGAAATAGAAAAGAAATAACGGTCAAGAAAACACACACATTTTCTACAATCGTTCAAAGCGGCTGTCAGAAAAACAAGAAAACGATGTAAAGAATATTAAAAACAATTATCGAAAACACAAGGTAGATTATACGCTGCGAAAAAAAGTAAAAAAGTAAGATTATATTGTAAAAGTTGTAAGGGCCTGCTCGCATTATGTTTAGAATGTTTTAAAAAGTTGCATGCTTATAAATAAATAATTGTTATCAATTTAAAATATTGAATGTTAATGCTTATAATACTCAATTTTTGTTTATAATGTTGACAAAAAATAAAATAAACTTATTTTTTGAAAACCCATCTGTGATGCACGTCGCCCCACGGGATAATTAAGTGTGACCCACCGGTGGTGGATCAAACAGTCATGCCGCCCCACGGAACAGTCAAACGTGACCCACTGGTGGGTCACCCCGGCGTGAACGTGTTAAATTAAACATAGTCTTCCGTGTATGTCTAGAAGATATATGGCTGACTTTTTCTAACATAGTTACAAACTTAATAGCTCCTGAAAGTAAAAATTATAGTAATTTTGGGCATTCTTTTCTAGATGTGCAATCGGCAAATTTTTACAACTTCTAGTCATAAAATTATAAAAAGTTGTAAAATATTTTGTACTTCTAAAATGTAACTTATAACATTCATTTTGTAATTAAATGTACGAAAATTTAACATATACGGAACACATCTGAAAATTAATATAAAATTTGGTTTACAATATTTTTTTTAACCTGATAAGGCTGTTAAATTGAAAGCAGAAAAAAATAATCATAAGAACGAGGTGTGACACAAAAATAACGAGACTAGGTCTGTAGCTTGAAAAAACAATGGAATTGGCAGCAAATGTTTTTTGTGGCATCATCCCACATACCTCCTCTATCCCTGTTGCCAATTTCGATTGAATCGGTCATACCATTTGGAAGTATTGCGTTATTTAGTGAACACGTGCAACTGCATTCTGCCGGAAAAATGTCTAATGTAAAAGTCGAACAGCATATAAACATCAAGTTTTTTGTAAAATTTGTTGAAATCTTTTGTAACATGTGATGAGACTTGGATTTTTACCTATGACCCAGAATGTAAGCGCCAGTCAATGGAGTGGAAGTCTCCAGGATCCCCAAAACCCAAAAAAGCACGCACGTCAAAATCAAAATTCCGCATTAATGGAATTGTAATGATTGAGTGGTTTCCCAGTGGTCAGACTGTTAACCAACACTATTACATTAAAGTCCTAAAAAGATTTAGTGAAAAAATTTGGAAAGAAAGGCCACAGTTATGAAGCGATGGATGGTCGTTGCACCAGGATAATGCATCCGCTCACACGGCACTGTCTGCCAAGTACATAGTTTCTGACCAGTAAAAATATTACTGTGATGGGGCATCCTCCTTATTCATCTGATTTGGCTCCATGAGACTTTTCTTTATTTCCTAAAGTTAAATTTTGCTTAATGGGAACCCATTTCACCTCAGTTAAAGAGGTTCAGGCAGAAACGGAGAATCTCCTAAAGGGACTTCCAAAAACCTCGTTCCAGAATTGTTACCAGCAATGGCAGCACCAAATGCAAAAGTGTGTGAATGCTGAAGGGGACTACTTTGAAAGTGATAATGTCACGGAGAACTGATTCTGCAGGTACAATGATTTATTGGACTAGTCTCGTTACTTTTGTGTCACACCTCGTATATCTACTAGGTACAGCGCGACCGCCTATGTTATAAATACTCACGCGTCCAATGTAGTGTTAAAGACTTATTTTTTTACACCTATTAAATTTCTTTGTAGCGGCTTATTATATTATATTATATATTAATTTCCTTTTCTATGCCATCTTCTAGTCTTCCATTATGATAGGAGCACTATCATTGCACTATCACATATCATCTTTTATTATACAATATCTGTTCACCACATCAATTCTTCAAAAGATAACATACTCGTTGAAAACGACATCAAACATAGAAATACAGGCAATTACAAAAAGGAAAAACAAGTCTCATCTGAGGCAGGAAATATTGGAGAAAAAAAGTAGTTTAACTGACAGAAGAACAAATCTCTCCCGTTTAGAAGATAAAACGAGGATTTTCGTTCAGTCGAACGACTCGTTTGCATCAACTTTCTGAAACGACCATTTAAATCTTCTCTTAAAAAAGTTTCCGTTGCTTTGACCCATAATCCTTAGTTTTTTTCTGATGATAATCCTATTCAATCATAGCCAGTTTGGCGGTCCGCTTTCTGAACCACGCAGACAGTGATTTGGTCAAGCTAAGAACAAAGTGACTCTGATGAATCAGAAACAAATCTCTACGAGTTTGTAGACATAATGAAATATATAACGTCGCAAAAAAGTGTATAACCCTTATTGTTGCAGGTGTACTCTGTTCAACAGCGGTATTTTAGCTCGTCTCGTGACTCGCTTCATGGGGCTTATGTGAATCGTGGGGCGAGCGAGCTCGATCTAAGCCGTAAACCGAAGAGAAGGGACCATCTCAGGGGAAGATTCAAGCTGCCATATACGGTTGCACTCACGTCCTCGCGCGACCAGTCGCACTTGCATACACCTGCGTCTGTCAATCATCTCAGCAATAGCAGCTGCAACGGTACCGAAACGTGAGTATTAATAATTCATCTTCAGCAAACAATTTTCAATACAGTAAAGCCACGATATAAGCGAATCTTTTGCGTAGTTTCTACATTGAATGCAGTTTGCCGAACGTAAAAAAGGATAACGAGCGAAGGAAATCGAATGACTGCTCGTAAATAAACAGGAACATGTCCAAGAAATAAGACTATTGCAAGAACGGAATTTTATTATTTTTTATTTTTCTGTTAAAGAATTTTACCAACATATTTCTGATATTTTCCAGACTTCAAACACGATGTAATTTGTAAAATATTTACTTGTAACTTCGAGCATTTCTCTTATAACGAGGACCTTATCTAATAAATTGTTATAAGTAAATATGTTCCGAATAACGTAGTGTTGGGTCTCAGTTTAATCAGAAAAATGTTGTAAATATGTTGCTATTAATATTGTAAACAATATAATAAGCTCATAATAATTAATTCTGTTCTTGCATTGTTATTGTTTCACGGATAAACCCAAACCCGCATTACGTTATATTTTTCGACATGCAAACTTATCAACATCAAGGGAGTCTTCTCCCAATGGTGGAAATAATTTTTTTACTTATATCATGTTGATCATGTTCGCTTCTATCGAGACTTTATTGTATACAAGTTGTGATGTGATAATTAATTACATTAACTCGCCAATTTTTTAAAATATGACCTTATTATAAAATGACCTTGAAAAGTATTAAGATCACCGTTTCGAACGATTTATCTGCATTTATATTACTTGATATAACATTTGATACTAATATTTGATGTAACAATATATAGCATAACCTAGGTTTGATGTAACCTACCGAATCTAATAATTTAATTACATTATACGTTTATTAGTTGAGATAGATTATATTAGATTAATATCCTGGATAGTATGAAATTTCGTATGTACGAAGTTAAAGATTTTTAAATGTTATAATTGAAGTATTAAGTAGCGCCATGTCTGTAAATAACTATAAGCAAGATATTTTACGAGCCTATTTGAGATTTACTGGATGTATAACTGGATGTCTTATATAAATAAATACTGGATATAAATCGCATTAGATCGATCTCTAAAAGCACGATCAAGTACAATATTCAAAATTCTACAGCTTTTGCGCAGAACACTTTTTTGGAAAATGTTTTATTTCGAAAGGAATAAGCTGTCGTTATTTACATTTCAACAGTTACGGCGTAATTTTTAACCCAAGAATTTATGTTTATCAGAAACAAAGAGCATACATTTAATATTTTTAGATATTTCATAAGTGTACAAAGTTTTGTAAAATAACTTTATTGAGTGCTGGGGAATAGAACTATTAAATTTCTGTTTAATATAAATTTAAGTAACAATAACCAATTTAGTGCTACAAAACTCTGATCAAAGTATGTTTTTACAAAACTGAAAAGTTGCAGAAAGATGTGAAATAAATGGTAGATAAATAAATAGGCAGATGGATAGGTAGAAAATTTTAAATTCTGCAACTTAATATGCAAGTTCATATTTAGTAGATATTGCAAAATTTTTCATTTATTTGTAATAGAGTGCAAAGTATTTTCATTAAAACATAGAAAAATAAACTAAATGGTAAACGAAAGAATAGAAATAATATCAATACCATTAAAATAAAAAGAACAAAATTCAACTATACTGAAAAGACCACACTATAGAAAAGGTTAGTTTACCTGCAGTGATCATATGAAAATTCTGTTGACGTAAATCCTTCAAGTCATTCATTTCCCAACACAACCCGGTTTCTTAAAAGTGTAACACTTACTTTATCTACTATAACCAATCGAAATTAATGAAAATTCTTCCCACCAAAATGAAAACATTCAGTCTATCGCCTCTATTTTGAATTTCACAAATTTTCTTCTTAGCGAACATTTCTTGTAGAAACAGATGAAACTGTAGCAGAAACAAATTGTCACCCCGAATCGTTAATAAATAATCTTCAAAAATTTCAAGAGTTACAAAAATTTAATTCGTTAGGGATTAACTCGACACGTTTTAATAATTACTCAATATCATCGTTAAAATAAAATAGCTTTGATTAATAAATGTTAAGATTATTTGTATTATTTGTATTCGTAAGAGACTTGCAGAGTTAGCATATTTAGACATGCGCGTACATAACACAAACGTGTAATAAAGAATTAAAACGCAATTTATCGTCCTTGTAATCGGTACTGTTACCCGCGAACATCCTAGTGACTGCAATCTTATTTAACCGACTTCGAAAAAGGAGATTACTCAATTCGATCAGTATATTTTTTTTTATTTCACTACATGCTCGCTAAACATATGATTTTATGTTCTATGGATATGTACACTACGGTCATGAAAACGATCAGGTAACATTATTCAAACCTGCGTGTCAAACCAATGACGTATCACGAAAACTAGTTACGCAATATTAATAGAACTTACACACAACTATAAATACCGCATCCGTTGATGAAAAACAGATTTCCACCGTTCTTCCAATTTTCGCACTCCTTGAAAGAGCTCTCTTAACTGTTGATCTATCCAAACTTAAGTTATCACTTTCCATTTAAAAAATAGATTGAACCATGAAATCGGTCATTAGTTCGCAGTACTAATAGTGGCGGGGGGTCAAGTAGAGGTACTGTGCAACAAAAACTCGGAGACAATACAGGCGTTATGGAACATGGTATTGCCATGGAGAAACAGAATGTTACTGATGTTTTTCACTGTTCTGAAATCCATTGTTACTGTTCTAGAACTGTGTATACTGCTCCACCATAATATTTTCTACCTCCTTATACAGACGTCAATATGCAATGTCATAAAAATCCACTGCAATGATTAACACGCACTTGTACTCTGCTATTTATTAACAACAAAGTTCTATCGGTTCCTTTTCATTTTCTACGCAAAATTGATTCTAGTTGTGTTCAAGGAGTCGGTACGAAAACTACCAACTTTCATCAACGAGTAAAATTTCAACGACAACTTCTGTATTAATTTAGATCTTTTATCGCATCACACAATTGTATCATTTCTACAAGCTAGTCAAAGTTCAATTTTCGAAGTATATGTGTAGTATTTTACTACTGTAACAGATTCATTATGTATACACTGCTGGCCAAAATTAACGCACCACTTTCTTTAGCCGTTTCTTTCTTTACGTTCTGTTGGAGGTAGGACTTTGAAATTTTGAGGATAGTTGAGCCCATGGGTTATCTCAATGCTCCAGGAATGCCATTGTTTCCTGCCACCCCCTTGCGGTATCGGCGACCCCTTGAATGCTAGGGGGTCGAAAAACCGAAAAAAAGGCTCTAAATTCGACAGAAAAAAAGAAAAAATCCGAAATTTTTTTACAGAATGAGGTTCTTTAGGTTGCGGCCTTTTTTACAGAATGAGGTTCTTTAGGTTGCAGCCTTTCCGAAAATGCCCGGCTCAACCGCCTGCGACACCCCCAACCCCCTCCCAAAGGGGCGGTTTTTTCGATTTTGCTCAAACTTTTACCGAAGCTTCCTCTCGACCCCATTTATACCTGGTAAAAATTCGGTCACGTTTGCACCAACCCCTTGGTCGCTACACGCTGTCAAAAAACCACCCCTTGCTGTTTTTTCACTTTTTCACAGTTAAAAGTCAATTTTGGACCTGCAGTTCACGGAAAAACTTGTTTCCGTGCCAACGGTATCGTTCCTGTTGGTGGTTTGGGCCTGGTGTGAAACCAACCCCCGCTGAGGGGGTTCTTACTTCCAACCCACTCAATCCACCCCCGGGGGTGAGCGGGTAAATTGGGTGCATGCGATCGATTGAGGGATCATTGGAGCATTCCTGTACAAATTTTCAAGTCGATTACTCGAACCGTTCTCGCGCGATATGCAAAAAATTGGAAATTTTGAGATTTTCAACCCCAAGTTCACCTAGCAGCCACAACTTATTGGAGGCAGTTGGCATCCCGCGGATTGGCCTCTCATTCAAGGGGTCGCCGATACCGCAAGGGGGTGGCAGGCAACAATGGCGCTCCTGGAGCATTGAGATAACCCATGGGCCAGCCGTGCATTTCAAGAAAAACAAACTGACACGTGTCTTTCAGTACCGAAATGAAATCCTAAAACAGACAGCTGCTACAATCCTGGTAGGGTTACATTTAATAATGATTGCTTGACAAGGATCTGTTTTATTAGTTTACTGCTTCGTGATAATTATTCTGTTTTTCGTTTAGGAAGACAGAAATCCTATTACCGACACCTGGGAAGATAGCCCAGGTAGTGTGGAAAAACTCCCGCTTCCGACGGTTTCCACGCATACCCACTAAAACTATTATTAAAGGTATAGTGAAAGTATAAAAGCAGTATTGGCCATAAAAGCCTATGTTCTTTACGGCGCACAGTGGTCCCAAATCGCAAAAAGCTGGCCAAAAGTCAAAAAATGAAGTATTCAATTTTTACCTTTTAACTACTGGGTTGGGTACACTGATAGTTTATGAGTTCAATTACAAAAGGTACAGTTGCCTAGTTCATCTACCTGCATTGATATTTCAGTAGGAAATTGACTTTCGTTCGAGCAATACCTAACGCGCAAATCCAGCAAAAATAGACTTTATTAGAAAAATTTGTAACTCAGTCCCCAGTGCATCAATTTTGATTCTGCAAAATAGAAAACATAGCTAAAGGTAAGTAGAATTCATAGACACAGTACAAGATCAATACTTACAAAGTATAATACAACAATTGAATAATGCTTTTTAATAAAAATTCAAATAAGTGGCGACCTCGGTATTTATAAAAAAAGGGAAAAGTTTATGAGTTAGACGGAGTTGGGTTAAAAAACCAATTGTCATATTTAGTTAAGACTGCAATGCATCAGAATTAACAAAAAAATGCTGCTCATATCTGCCCCTCGAGTCTTAATGAACATTTGAAAATGTAAATACTTATGTTTGTCGCTGATTCATGCGTGTTCGCCTCTCTCTTTCTTTCTTTCTCCCCTTCATACAATTAGTCATTTGCTCACTATT